TCTCTATTCCATTTACTTCATGGTCTGTGGAAGCAGGGCTTAGAGGCATTTTCCAGTAAGAATTCTTATTTTATTAAAATGTTTCATAATTCATGGGAATTATTTTACATGTTATTTTTCCTCCAGCTTCGAGCTCTTTATTCACAATACCTTCGAAGAACTAAGAGTTTGAATAAACTATTGTATCACTTGTTCAGGCTTATGCCGGAAAACCCAACTTTTCCTGGATCAACATCAGAACTTTTACATAAAGATATAAAAACATATTTTACTGAAGAACTTGATTTAGATATCAAAGGCAAGTCAGAATATTCTTAATGTTTCTGTATTTCATTATTTGAGTTGTTTTTTTTTTTTGTTTCGTTTTGTTAGGACTCCTCTGGGCTAGTTATTGACCTCTAAAATATTGTCCTATTTTCAGATGGTTTCATGGCAGAACAAAAACCTCCTAAAATATCCTTATTTTATATTGCAGTAATTCACAATCATCACAAAATGGCTGACGCTCTGTGCTGAATAGGTCCCATTTAAAGCTCAATAAATTTTGGTTATACCAAGATGTGCATTTTTTTGACTTACCAATCTTTACAGTGTTTTTATAGATTTTTTTTCCCTTTGAAATTCCAAGCTGAAAGAATATGTGCATGCTTCTGTATGGTCACCATCCCATTTTAAAAGAGAAATCTGGGATGATTACCCACAAGCTTTTTCTTTTTAATGGTCAATGCAGAGAAAAATTGAGATGAATAAGTAGCCAAAACTGTCTGTGAATGATTGTGAGGCATTTCACTTAATAATTCAAGTAAGAATGTATACTAATTTACTCACATTACTAAGAAATAGAAATATTGTAACTGAAAATATGAAACTCCAGCACTTTTTAAACTGGCTTTATTTCTATTTTTTTTCCATTTGTTCTATAGACACACAAGCAATGTCCTCACACATTCCACATTTGGCTTGTACTGTCTATTGTATGACCTTAAAAGATTTGCCAGCTATGGTTCGTCTTTGGTGGAACAGCTGTGAGAAGCGAGTCTTCAACATTGTAGATAAATTTACAAGCAAATATGTTAGTGGTATACTGTCTTCCCAAGAAATATCTTCTGTACAGACCAGTACCCAGTTGTTTAATGGCATGATGGTTTGTATCATTATCTTTTTATTATCTCTGTGTATGTATTTGTGTGCAGTTCATTGTGTGCTATACATGATTAAATGCAGTGATACAACTGTCTGAGAGTTGATTGGAAGCACTGGCACTGAGGTGATTTTAGGGTTCTCAAAAAATGCAGTGAAATCATCTGCAATCTAAGCATTCTTCTATGAAGCATTTCTGTTCTAAAAAGTACCTAAGTTGTTTACATTAGTAAATAAATGTTGCCTCTGGGGATGTTTTGTGGAAGACAATTTTTCTCTGATGGGTGGGGGCACAACCTAGATCCTGCGAATATAGTTTTGCTCACCCGCCACTCACCTCCAGCTGTGCAGCCCAGTTCCTAACAGGTCACAGATCAGTACTGGTCTACAGCCCAGGGTTGGGGACCCCTGCCTTAGAATATATGCAGAAATCTAGCTATTGTTGAATGGTGCTACTCCGTCAAATAATGGCCTATCTTGTAAAAATTTAAGATGACAATAAAATTCCACATATACCTACAGTATTTGGGATTATTTGATGTGTGCTCTATTAAATATCTAGATGTAATTAAAACAAAGTAAAAAAGTGTATTAGTTAGAGCCTACAATTAGTTATAAGAAATATGAAGTTATGATTACCAAGCATATGAATTATGCTGATTTTTCTTCAAGTTAAGCATAACAATATAGAATCCATATTTTTAAAAAACTCTTCAATATAGCATTTATATAAGTATCTATCTTGTGAATGTAAGAATATTAATTTGTTAGACTTAATCTGTTTTACCATTTGTATAGATTTGTGTTCTAAACAAAGTCTAATGTTATACTCAGATTATTAATTAAAATACTGAATTGTGCATATTGTGGAATAGATAGTATAATCTATTAATACTAATTCAGCCTTATTTAACCCAGTTTGAGCATCTTTAGGTAGAAAGAGGTTTAGTGTGCTATACTATTATAAACATGATTTTTATTGTTGCTTAAAATAAAATTTGAAAAAAAAAATCACCTACAGGTTGTCCTCACTTAATAACATTTTCTTTAGCAACTCTTCAAAATTATGACAACACAAATGAATGGCAATTTTGACTGGTCCTTGGAGTTAGTTATTGCAACGCCGCTTGTGGTATGATCAATATTTTGTCAGTTGGTGGGACACCTTGACCGCAGTGTGCATTTCAACTCCCCTTGCCTGTCTCTTCCATCTCTGCCCTTTTAGTTGTGCTACACTCCCACCTGCTCCTGCCAAGCTTTGCCCTTTTCTTCCTCCTCTTCTTGCTGCTGCTAAGGCATGCCCAGTCAAGGCAAGTGCTGGGTGTTGCATGGCCTCCATGAAACCTTGTAAGGCCTCAGGAAGGCAACACAAGGGTTAACAACTGCCTCAGCTGGGCAGAAGGCAGTGGTAGGGGGCAGTAGAAGTCAGGGCAACCAAAAGGACAGAGATGGGGTAGAAGATAGATGTTGAAGTGGAGGTCAGATAGGCTGGGAAAATGTGAGATCTTTGTCAGCTGGAACTGCCATCATTAAATGATAGGGTAATGTGATGTTTCATCTAATGACTGCTTTGCTTAGTGATGGAAATTTCGCTTCCAATTCAGTTCGTTAAGCTAGGTCTTAAAAGTAAACAGTGGGATTGAAACATTATTGCTATAATAAATGATTAATATTTTTGTTTTTACAGGTAAAAGCTCGATCTGCTACTCGAGAAGTCATTGCTACTTACTCAGTTGATGATATATTCATTGAACTGATTATACAGCTTCCCCCAAATTATCCTTTGGGCTCTATAGCTGTAGAGAGTGGGAAAAGGGTTGGTGTAGCAGTTCAGCAATGGCGCAATTGGATGCTGCAGCTTAGCACTTATCTCACTCATCAGGTACTTTTTCATGTACAGTCTTGAATTAAGATCTGCTCTAAATAACAGGTACCTGAAGTACTTGAAAGGAAAAAAATTATCTGGGACTCATAGCAGTACTTTTGGCCAGTTTATAAAGCAGTTGCATTCTTCCCAGATCACTTAACTGATCTCCAATGCTGCAACAGTGTCCCAGAAAAATATATAGTAGATCAAACTGATTATTCAACTCATCAACACTAAATAAAAGCCTTACTGTATATTATTATATACTGCATTGTGAATTATATTACATGCATTTACAGGAAATTGTAAAAAATAAGATGGAAAATTAGGATAAGTTTCACTGAATGGTGATATTGTACAAAGCTGAAATGCATTATTTCCCCAACAGAATGGAAGCATTATGGAAGGGCTAGCATTGTGGAAAAACAATGTGGATAAACGATTTGAGGGTGTTGAAGATTGTATGATCTGTTTCTCAGTTATACATGGTTCCAACTACTCCCTTCCCAAAAAAGCTTGCAGAACATGCAAGAAAAAATTCCATTCAGCCTGTCTGGTAAGTATCTTGACTAGTAATATTTCTGAAGGAAAACACGTCTGAAATTTATATGGCTTTAATGCTACTAGTACACATATGAACATTAAATAAAAAGCTTAAAATATTTTATTGTTAATTTTGTAAAGGGAGCTCTTAAGCCAATTATGGGATTCTTTAAATTGAAGTGATTTGCTGTTTTCAGAGGAGCAATAGAAGTTTTTATTTTTCAGGGTTTTTTTATGCCTTCGATGTTCATCAGAGCTTACAGGAAACTGGCTTGTGAAAGAATAGCTTTCATGGAATAGCCTAGTATTGTTGGCTACTGAATATTTAACTTTAGAGGTAGATTTAAAGATGCCATAAAGTATTTAATCTTGACTGGGTAGTGTTTAATTGTAAATAGTAATTACTAGACTATTTTTAATATTTGCTTTTTGAATTCCTCTAGTACAAATGGTTTACATCTAGCAACAAATCTACTTGCCCTCTTTGTCGAGAGAATTTCTTCTGATACACATTTTTCTGCTTCAGTGAGCCTAAAGAAGCAATTGAAAACCATCATACTTGGACTGAGCAGTAAAACCTTAATTTCTTCACCTACAATAAAAAAATTCAAACAATTGATCATTTATTAGTGTTATTTACTATCTCTGCATTAAAATATTCAGACGCGAAATGTAGAAATGGGTGACGTGTAACAGTTTTTGATTTCTGGCTATGTACTGTTTCTTGTCTTACATAAGAAAACTGTTAAGGTTGAAAGATTTTTAGCAGCATGCAGAGCAATTTAATAGTTTGCTCAGTTAGAGATCACGATTAGAATTGGTAATAAGGATTCAAAATGAAAGGGATATATGCACACTTGAGATACTCACATATGCATCTGTGGTACTGATTCTTAAACTGTGTATTAGATTTGAGGTAGCGGCAAACAATATTGTGAGCCAACTAGTGCAGCTTATAGTAGTTGCCAGTACAGTAGTAGGGACTAGTGGTGTGCAAAAGATTCTGAATTTAAACTTCAAGTTTGAAACAGCTGTTCCAACTATATTTTAAGTATTCTGACTATCTAATAATATTCTAAACCTGAAATATTTATTGTGAAATTGTAATAACTATTTCAAACTTAAAACAATTGTTTTTACTTAAACATTTACCTTGCAGCTGCTTGTTCTTATTTCTACCAAGCCAATGTAGAATACCTATAAGAATTCTAAATTTGAAACATTTTTTGTAAGGTTGAAGAAGCTATTTCAAGCTTGAAACAGCTATTTTTACTTAAACTCTGCTTGCCCCGAAGTCAGACTATGCAACAGAAACAAGAGAATTACTTCAATGCTAAATTCATCATTCAGGATCTCTGAAACTCAAGATGGTAAAAAGAAGCAATTTAGGACAACAGCCACAATCTCTCTCCTAATTATTTGTATGTAGGATTGTAACAATGTAACAATGTTTCCACTTTTATAAATTTATTGTCAAAATTTTGATTACATACGGAAATATGCATATTTTTGAATTAAGATAATATGCTAATGTATACTTGTTGACAGCAGTTAGAATTTAATTGTAATTAAATGTAGCAAATTAATCTAAGATAGTATTTTAAAGCAAAGAGTGTACTATATGAAGATTCCTCCAAAAACCAGCTTCAGGATTTGTAGAATTTCAATACTGAAAGATACTCCCTTCCTGCTTGTCTGGAAATTACTTTATTGCCATTTAAACCACATTCCTGCAATATTTTAATAATTTCATCTGCAATTTAAAACAAGAGATTATTATTCAGTTTAGAAATAACAACTGACTTTACTGCTAACCTAACTGAATCTTGGGGAACAAAATGACAGTACATTGGAGCCATTTCCATGTATTTTATCTTTATATAATAAAAGGAAACTTAGCCTATTTCTTTAGATCCCAGTATCCTGTGCTGGCCACAATTCTGCATTCAATGCAGGTTAAATAAGTTAATCTGCCCAATATATAAATGTCAGAAAAATAGTCCCTGTGCTTCATTTCATTTTCTTTATAATTTGTCTCTACATTTGAAAGAGCATCTATGTCAGTGGTGGCGAACCTATGGCACAGGTGCCAGAGGCAGCACTCAGAGCCCTCTCTGTGGGCACGCGCGCAGTCACCCCAGTCCTAGGCCTTCAGCTGGGTTTTATAAAACCTTTTCACTTTAGGCCTCTACTACCGTGTGCAAAAAAAAAAAAAAAAAAAGGTTCAGTCAATTTCAACTTCTCGCAGGGAAAAAAAGATCTTGCAAAGTTGGAACTGATTGATTGAACTTTTTAGTCCCACCCAGTCTGCCGTTACCACCGCAGCCATGCCCACCCAATGGGCCACGCCCAGCCAATGGGCCACACCCACCCGGCACTTGATGATGCGTAAGTGGGTTTTGGGTTGCAGTTTGGGCACTCAATCTCTAAAACAGTGATGGCAAACCTTTTAGAGACCAAGTGCCCAAACTGCAATCCAAAACCCACTTATGCATTGTCGATTGCTGGGTGGGTGTGGCCCATTGGCTGGGTGTGGCCCATTGGGGGTGTGTGGCCCATTGGGTGGGCATGGCTGTGGTAACTGAGGTGGCGCAGCAGTTAGAGTGCAGTACTGCAGGCCACTTTAGCTGACTGTGTTCAGCAGGTCAGCGGTTCAAATCTCACCGGCTCAAGGTTGACTCAGCTTTCCATCCTTCCGGGGTAGGTAAAAGGAGGACCCAGATTGTTGGGGGCAATGTAAATATATATATACATTGCTTACTGGCGTACACCGCTTAGAGAGTGCTTGCACTTAAAGCGGTATATAAGTCTCATAAATAAATAAACGGCAGACTGGGTGGGACTAAAAAGTTCAATCAATCAATTCCAACTTTGCAAGATCTTTTTTTTTCCCGCGTGAAGTTGAAATTGACTGAACCTTTTTTTTTTTTTTTTTGCACATGACAGCGGAGGCCTAAAGCGAACAGGTTTTATAAAACCCAGTTGAAGGCCTAGGACTGGCGCGATGGCACGTGTTTCCCCCAGAGAGAGCTCTGAGTGCTGCCTCTGGCACCCATGCCATAGGTTTGCCACCACTGCTCTAAAAGGTTCGCCATCGCTGATCTATGTTCTTTTGTTAATGGTATTTAATAGCAACATAATAATATAATAATAAAGCTTAGACCTGCATTTACTACAATCAAATTTGAAATAGAATTTTTACCCAGGACTCAAAGATTTTACGTAACTATTAAAAAGTATTTTGCATGATAATCAACCACCACAATATTTAAGAAGAAATTGAGATATGGCTACCTGGATTATTTTCTTTAATTGTAACTAAATAAAACATTCCTCTTGTTGATAGTAAGTCTGACACAAGTGGAAACAGTCTATCCATAACCTCTCTGCCATTTTTACCTCCAGCCCAGGCTGCCTCTATTCCATGAGTTTGTATCTAGAACAAATAAAATATGGAAAATTGAACTGAAAGATTGTCATACAGAAGACAGGATAGACCTGTTCTAAGTTATTTCAGAAGAAATAATGCATATTTCTATTGGGCATTACACATGCTTAAGAATTGTTCTGCAGTTCTTGTTCTATGTTTCTTGGGAAGCAATAGATTCTTCTTTGGTTGTCAGATGCTGCAATATTGGATTTCTTCAATGGACAGGGAGATAGATTAGGTCATCTCCAAGATATAGTCAATGATTATATTCTATGCCTCTATGGAATTGGGATTAAACCACAAATATCAAGAGAAGATGTAGAAACAAGAAAAACCGTAAGTGAAGGATGAAATGTTCTATTTATAAGTAACAGTTTAGAAATATAAAAACTAGGGTGTGAAAAAATCAATTTCCAACTCATTGAATTTTTTCAATACTAGTGATACTTTACAGAAGCTATACATTGTTACAATTGGTAAATTGTTAATTGGTATTCTTAAATCTCATGATCATACCTCAGCAGAAGGAGTTACCACGTAAGGTGGGTTAAATAACAGCAAATCAACTTTTCCATGTAATCGTGTGAACAATCCTGTTACCTAAACATAAATAAAAACATTAACATTTATGTAACACATACGATTATTCAGATTCACTACAAAAGATATTGAAAGTTACAGGTTCCTTCTTACAGAAGAAACAAAGGAAGAAAGTGAAAAGCAGGTATTGGTGAGATAGCACCATATTTTGCCAAAAATATAAAAGCTAATGCAAGATAATCTTATTCCCATATTATTTCTACCAGTGCTTATTCCAGGAAAACCAGAATACTAAAAATATATTTATTCAATACCTGCTTTCTGGTTTTTAAGTTTCATATTATAATTAAAATCTATCATCCAGGCTATGAAAATTGGTTTATCATACATTATATAATGGGTAAAGGAGCCTGCATGTTATATTGTATAATAACTTTTGTCTTGCATTCCCATGCTTCAGATTGCTCTACTGCTAAGATGTTCATCACCAAAGCTTTTGTATGTTTTTGCTAGTCACTCATTCTACACGCAAGCTAAAATACACTGAGGTACCAAGTGCCACTAACATTATTCAAACTAACACCTGAAAAAAATATCAGAGCAGGGCAGATCACATCTTGTGTCATGAAATCAGCTGACTGGTACACAGGCAAGCAGAAGAGCTCCATCACTTCTAGACATACTTGTTATAATAGCCATTCTTACCCTAAAATTTAACATATACAACGTTTGAAAATTAATAACATTTTAAAATTTGCTGACCAAAACAATCAATTACAATTTACGTCTTACCAGGTCAGTAATTACTGGCTGAATGTGAACACTATTTTGTCTAGCTGTCTCTGCTGTGCATAGACCAGCCACAGGGTTGATATCAGTACACCTGTATGCACAAAATTACATTTTAGTAAACAGAAGCTATCTTTGTTTACCTTAGAAAATAATTGGTCAGATATAATTTAGGTATTTGATTGCACTGCCATCCATAGATGCCCCTGGTTTCATGAAATATGTAAGTCCTTGGTTAACAACCACTTGTTCAGTGATCATTTTATGACAGCCGTAAACAAATGGAAATTATGACTGATCCTCAAAGTTCCAGTCATCTGGAACTTGTAAATCTTGATTCAGAGTAATGTCGTTTTTGTGCTGTACCTTAAATGTACATGTGACTGCATGTAGGAAAGTGCTACTGTATACATATTGAGGACACATTAAAGCAGATAAATATTGGTTTCTAAAACAATAGTGAAATACAAGCAACAGTTCTGAACTGAGCCATTATCTTGTGGAACTGTCAGATATACTGAAATCGTATTTCTTTTACCTAATTGTATTTCTTTTACCTAATGTTTTTACTCAGTGAAGAATTATATCATTGACATAATCTAAATTTATATATAATAATAGCTCATATTCACATCCCAAAGACTATGCTACATTATTTAACTAACAAAAATTATGCATCAGAAGCACCCTATTTCTTGCTTACCTTGTATAACTTAAATGGCATATAAATACTTACATGTAAAATGCTTTGGATCCAACAATTGAAGCTAAAAAAGTTGAAACTACTCCAGATCCAGATCCTACTTCAAGGCATATATCGATGCTAAACAAATGCAAAAATAATAGTTTACAGAGATTAAAATGAAAACTACAATGTTATATAAAAACATACATGGTTTAATGTATACATTTCTGAACTATCCGTTTTCAAATTATAAATTAGATCCAGCAGCCAGTGAGCAATGTCAATTATAAGTTTAATAAATGTAATCTGTAACTATAAAATAATTGCAAGATCCAATATGGGCCGGTCATCCTCTGGTCCTAGTGACCGACCCAGATTGGATCTTGCAACATTATCCTGGGACATGTCTATTTGCCTTCATTTGTAAAAAAAAAAAAATCATTGCCATAATTGTAATTTAAATTAAATAATTGTATTTGTACGCTTCCCAAAGCTGTTCAGTGTTAGGTGGCATCCAACTTTAATAAATTATTGCTATTATTTCTATTATTCAACTTTGCTGATTTCTCAGACTGATAAAATTCTACCTGCAATGTGATTTTATATATCAATAAGGAAACATTTTATATTTACAAGTAACCTAAGTCTAGAGGCTTTATAGATTTTATTCTATTTATGTCTGGTTTTTGCTTGTTATGTTAATATTCCAGAGATGCTTATTTGCCTTATTCTTAGTCATGGCAGGTGGAATTCTAGCAACACACACACACACACACAATCTTTATAAGATTTATTTGAACTCTTCCCAGCAAAAAAATCTTTTCTATCACTTGAATGCAATGATGGCCAAATCATTCTTCTGCAACAGAACAGAATGCAGTATGTGGATGATATTTGCAGGATACTGTTTTAGAAAACAGAAACAGTTAACAGGCCACAACTTACGTTACCAGAAAGTTTATACATTATGGTGAGTTGTATGATGTTATTTAATAGATTATAAAAAGATGAAATCTCCGCTGAAGTGAATTTGATTCCTGATTACATGTAGCTTCTTGCCACTGTCTTTGTCCAGAAAGAGTCTTTCCCCACTTCCACTTTTCTGTCAAGCCCTGCCCTTTCCTGATAGTTTCCCTGTCAAATATTAACCCTGACAAACCCTACTTAAGCTTTTCAAGATCAAGATCAGTCAATAACTGGGTGATCAATTTAATCTTTTAATCGTCTCATATATGAGGAGTAGTAGCTTAATTCTCCCATTTCTTAGCTGTATAAAGCTTATCCAATGTGCCCCATGGATCTTCTGCACACCTCAGGCCAAGTTTAATCTAGGCCAGGGGTAGTCAACCTTGGCTCTTGTATGACTCGTGGACTTCAATTCCCAGAAATCCTGAGCCAGAAGTCCACGAGTCATACAAGAGCCAAGGTTGACTACCCCTGATCTAGGCCATATAATTGCAAATGCACCGTAGATGTTTCCTATCGTGCCATTGCCCGCCCGCAGTCCCCGAACTCTTCTCGGGCTTGCGCAGCCCCACTGATCGGCGCCTCACCCGGCGCTTTTCAGAGCCTCGGCATCCTGCTCCAGGGCGTCGAGCAGCAAGTAAGTGTCTTCGGCGGGCTCATAAACAGCGCTGAAGGGACCCTCTGGACCCACGTGCTGGTGCCGCGGGGTTGGGAACATCGCCGCCGCGGTTCTTATCCTGGACACGAAGAGATAAGCCTGTAGCAGCCATAGACCTGCCCCCCCCCCCCAATAAATAAATAAATAAATATCTTTATTCACAGCGTCGCTTTCAACGCGGGCGAGAGAAACAAGGAAAAGCCAGCCCTTCGCTCCTTTTACGCCTGCGCTCAGTCAGAAACGCCCAATGATCGAGGCAGAGAAACTAAAGCCCGCCCCTTCCAAGGAATAATAGCTTCCGATTCGTCGGTCTTAGAGACGGAAAGGTTGCGTGCGGTGAGTATCTGCTGTTATTTGCTAATATGCCGTTATTATTTTTTTATAAATAACTAAAAGCGGCAAATATACCAACAACACATTGTGATGGGTTGGTCTGAGAGAGAATCCCTGGCAGGTCCTTCCAAGATATGGTCAGCACAAACTGCTAGCGCAGGAGAACCATGAAAAATGTGGCTATTTCCCCAAGCACTGGGACCAGGATCTTAATGCAACTCTAGTGTGCTGATGTGTCTGTTACATTGCTACTGCTGTTTATTTAGGATCCTTGAAATTTTTTTTTGTGTGTAATGGATTGTGAAGTTTGGTGGGATTTTTTTTTTTTTTTTTGTATTTTTATTCAACGTCCGGCATGCTTTTGACAAGTGGATGGCCTTATAAATATGTTTAATAAATAGTAAACAAACCCAAGCACAACAAACACACACACAAAATATTAAAGTGTTTAAACATAAGAATAGAACAAGGAAATAAAATATATTGTAATCCAAATTTATAAATAGCTCTGGTAAAGTCTTGCTCAAATATTGAAAAAGACAAAAGTCTTTCAGATGATTGCATAATTGTTGGGAATGGTTTTCTTCTAGCCTTATGTTAGTTTTTTTAATGATAAAAGTGCACAACATCCATTTATTATCCTTCCAACACGAAATAAATGGTACTGCTACAAAACTTTGATATCCTGTACTATATAGTTGCCAAAAATGAGTATGAATCTTTCAGATTGCTTTCCAGGAAAAAAAATAACTTCAGCAAAGACATATACATTAATTTTAAATTAACCCACGTCCTCTGCAGATTATTTGAAAGTTATACTAGCCAAGAATAATACCTGTTTTATATTCTTGTGTATGACAACTGTATGACAATGTTTCTCCATTATAATGGAAATAGATTCTAGACTTATCTAACCAGCGTGTAGGCAGCCTATTATGAGGAGATCCTCACTCAGACTTGCTGGAAAAAAAATTGTTTTCCAAAGATCTCTGAACTCAGATGAAGTATTACAGCCTCAAATTTGTATGCTGAAAAGTATTTATGGAAAAAATAACTTCCAAAGAAAAGCATAGATGGAAGGAATATACTGAAATTCTGTATTATAGAAGTACCTATAGTAGTTGTAAAGATCCTCCAGTACTAGAAAATTGAGGATTAGTGCCACTTTATACTATGCTGGTAAGAGACCATAGTTGGTGTACTGCATCCAGTTTGCATCACCACAATACAAAAAAGATGTTGAAACTCTAGAACAGACATGTCAAACACAAGGCCCAGGGGCTGGATGCGGCCCGCAAAGTGGTTTAATGTGGCCTGTGAAGCCATCCTGGAAACAGTGAGGGAATAGCCCCTTATGCCTTGGCCCCGACCCAGGCCGGCCGGGAGACAATGTACAATTTTGTGGTGGCCATCTATGCTGAAATGCATTCAGTCTTAGTCCATAAGCCCCCCCCCTCATGGCCTGAGAGGAACAGTGAGGCTCCTCCAGTGGACCATGCCTTGGTACTTGCCCTGGTCCCACCCCCTTCTGCCAGAGACCCTCAGATCTATCCCACTCCTGCCCAGGCCCCCACAGGCATCTTTGACGCGAACGATGTAGAGCTGGCCATGCCCATCCAGTAGGCCACACCCACTCCATTTACACCCACCCAGTAGGCTGCACCCACCCTGGCCATATCCACCCACCCCCCCTGAGGGCAACCACAATGCTGATGCGGCCTTCAATGAAATTGAGTCTGACACTCCTGCTCTAAAAACAGTGCCAAATAGAGCAACAAATACAATTAGAGGACTGAAGGCAAAACATGATGAACGGTTACAAAAACTGGGTATGTCTAGTTTAACGAAGAGAAAGACTGGGGTGACTTGATGCCATTCTTCCAATATTTGAGGGGCTGTCAGAGAGAGGAGGGGGTTGACCTATTCTCCAAAGCACCTGAGGGCAAGACAAGAAGTAATGAATGGAAACTTATCAAAGAGAAATTATCAAAGATAAATTTCCTGACAGCGTGATCAATCAATGGAACAACTTGTGGATGGTCCATCACTGGAAATTTTACAAAGAGGCCATCTGTCCAGAATAGTATAGAGTCTCCTAGAGAGGTGGACTGTTATACTGTTAGAGCAGTCTATATAACAATACCAAACAAAGGAGACCTAAGAGAGTGTACAATATTCTTTGTTTGACATGATAGTAAAATAATACTTAGGATCATCCCAATGGAAATTAAACTTTATATAGAAAAGGAGATGTCAGCAGCTGTTCAAAAAAAGAGACATTGCTGATGCACTCTGGATAATTGAGAGAAATACACTGCAGATTAGTATTTTGTAGGATTTATTTTATTTATTTTTATTTTATTTATTAAATTTTATGCCATCCATCTCTCTATCAAATGACTCTGGGCAGCTTACAATTCCACAAATAACAGAATAAAATAATTACAGTATTAAAGCATTAAAATAGCAAACATTAAAAACTAAAACATTAAAATTAATATTAAAACAGATAAAAAAACAGTGTTTGGATAGAGTAGAAGTGAGTTCTTGTACTAGTCTACTAGCCACCTCTAAAACGGGACACATTGAAGCCCCAAGCCAGTTAGCAAAGGTTTTTGACTCTTTTCAAAAGCCAAAAAGGTGGGGGTGGAGCCTGATATTCCAGAGCTACAGCAAAAAACGTTCTTCTCCTGGACCCTGACAGCCATGTTTTCTTGGCGAATGGAATCCAGGATATAGCTCATCTGCCAGAATGAGTGGGGCAGCCAATCCCATTGGGATGAGACAGTTCCTCAGGTAATTTGGAGGCATGTTGTATAGGGCTTTAAAGATAATAACCAACACCTTGAATTGTACTCCAAACCAGCAACCAATGCAGTTAGCACAACAGTGGTGTAACATGGGCTACCCTAGGGGCCCTGAAACTGTGCTTCTGCATTTTGTGCAAGCTGTAGCTTCCAAATGCTCCTCAAGGCAGCCCCATGTAGAGTGCATTGCAGTAATCCAAGCACAAGATGATCAGGGCATGAGTGACTGAGTGCCTCATGATCTAGAAAAGTGCATAACAGGCACACAGTCTAAAGTTGTGCAAAGACTCTCCTAGCCACAACTGTTGCCTGCTCTTCAAGCAGGAGTTGTGAGTGTAGGAGGACCCTCAAATTTGCACAAGGTCTGTCTGGGGCATTGCTAACCCATCCACAACTAAAGATGGATCCAAATGCTCCACGTACCCAAGAGCCACTTAAGTTAGTAGTGGATTTCTTGGAAAAATTATTCAGATGCCATGATGTATCTATATTTACAAAGATCAAAATCCTGTAGGTTAACAGTGCTATCTATGAAGTTGTATGGAAGTAAAAGTTGAATTTAAAGAAACAAGATAGAAGGAATATTGACACTTTTGGAACTTTGTTGTGGGAGAAGACTCCTGAGAATATCAAATTATTTTATTTTGTACACATTTATCAAATTGCATCTGCCTTGAAAAGTCTATAATGCTGGAGAAGAGAAGTAGATGATCAGCAGCAAGATGGATGAACCAATTATAGTGTTGATGGGTGCACCTTTGGGGACCTGAACTAGCGGTTGGGAACACATCATCCTGGAGAATGTCTGTGTAGTTGCTAACAATCAACACACTCAATGTATGCCATCTATATTTTGTATGTCTATAGATATATTGTATATAAAAAGGAGATTTGCAGAATAAAATGAAGCAGTATTTGCCTATAAATAATGCCCATTCATTACCCTAGAACCCTACAATTAGAATAATGTCCTTAATACGTTTGAGTGATTTTAGCTGAGTTGAATAATAATAAATAATATTCTGTTCTTTCCTCGAAGTCTGTCTTGTAAATTATTTTGAATTTGTTTGGAATATTATAGCTGCAGATTTGATTGTGCAGTGTCTCATGTTCCTCTTAGATAAATGCCTAGGGTATCTCCCTCAATTTCACTGTCTATTCATCAGGAAGCAACTATCTACTGTATATTTCATTAAAAATATCCAAATATTTATTTTTCCTAAATGTCCCTAAGAATGGAACTAAGTAATATTAAATCCTATTGAGCTGTTACAGTATTTCATTGTTTGTTAGCAGGAAAAGCTGTTTTGCTTCTGATGTAAGGAATTTTAAAGCAGCGCTCAGAAAACTGAATATGAAAATGATTTGGGGAAGTACATTTTCTCAGGAATACCTAATACTTAATTCGATCTTAGGTAAAAGTAAAAAAATGTTTTTGTTAAATGCAGTCAAGTGGTTTTATATTTCACTTCAGTCTGCATTTGCAGAAATAACTGTATTATGGTTTTTGCCCTTCAGCAAATTATTATAGTTAGTTTGCACATTTAAAGAGTCCAACAATTTCACTTTGTTGAGTAAAGTACTCCAGATGGTGACCATTAGACATTTTAGAGCTTTTTAGACAGAGAAATTCAGTCAGGAAAGCCGCAAGAATGTAGTGTATCCCTAGAATGTATATTTATTAAGGATAATTAATTTTATGAAGTGGCTTGTTTTAGGTAATATATATTCAATTGTTCTGTCTTTTTAAAAAATCTGCAAATGGACTGTATTTTTAAAATTATATCCAGAGTTCTTACATACTTTTGGTTAAAGTATGAAGTTAAATATAAACTACTGTTCTATATTATGTTATGTGAAGTTACCATAACATTGTACTTAAAGGACAGAGCTAAAAATGTTTCTTCAATCAGAATAGAACTGGAAGGGACCTTCGAGATCTTCTAATCCAACCCCCTACTCAAGCAGAAGACCCTATACCACAGGTCGGCAACCTGCGGCTCCGGAGCCGCATGCGGCTCTTTGAGCCTTCCCCTGTGGCTCCCAGCCTCCTCTGCCTTTGC